CAGCCTCTCGTGTGGCTGGGACTACAGGCGCCTGCCACCGCGCCCGGCTAATTTTTGTATTTTTAGTATTTGGGGTTTCACCGTGTTAGTCAGGATGGTCTCGATCTCCTGACCTCGTGATCCGCCCATCTCGGCCTCCCAAAGTGCTGGGATTACAGGCGTGAGCCACCGCGCCCGGCTGGGAGTCTCTTTCTTTCTCTCTTTTTAACCAAAAAGAGATGACAAAACTAAGTTCAGGGGCCATGGAAAATGAAAAAGTCCTCTATATTGATCTGTGAAGAGAAAGTTATCAAGAGAAAGAGGTGAGGATGGAAGGATGAAGAGAGACAGACTGTGGGAAGAATCAGAAGGAATCCGCTGAGGCAGGGATGGGTGTGCCCATGTGTGCCTTGACGGGACTTCATCTTACAGACTGTTAAACTGTCACACAGAAACAGGCTTTCCACTGCTCCTCCCAGAGCACCATGCACAGGTTTCCAGTTCTTAGTGTGGCTATTTAAAGTAGAAAATCTGGGGGCTGGGTGAGGCCACTCACACCTATAATCCCAGAAGGCTGAGGCTGGGGGATTCTTGAAGTCAGAAGTTCAAGACCAACCTGGGCAACATAGCAACACCCACTGTCTCTACAAAAATGAAAAAACAAAAAACCAAACCAAAAGAAAAATCTGAAATTTCCATCTGGGGATTAAATTCTTTCTTTCTGGTGAGTAATCTAGAGATTCATGCATTCTTCAAGCAGCAGTTCCCAGAGCGATTAGGGAAGACGTATGGTCCGAATTTACGCATGCGCTGGGTGTGTTTTGGTTTTCGCTGGAAATTTGTATCTGTGTCTGGGCTCCCAAGAACATAAAGGTAATTGCCAAAGCAAGCAGTGATGTGGTGTGTTTATTTTCTTTTACTCTTCTAGGAACTCGATGCAGCTTTATATTTAATAAAATAGAGGTTGCATTATTGTAAGGGACTTTCATGCTTTTTAAGTTTTGTTTTTTTAAAACTGGCTTCCTCAAAGCCATTTCCTGGAGGCGTACTCATCCCTCAAGAAGTGTGTTGACTGTAACTATGATTCAATTCCAAGCACCAGTGCGGTAAGTCTGGAAACCCAGGAATCGCCGTCAGGGATCTGGGGCTTGGTCCAGCTCCCCAAAGGAAACTGCAGGTCAGATGTTTTGACTTGTTTTTTTTTGAAACGGAGTCTCGCTCTGTCGCCCAGGCTGGAGTGCCTTGAAACGGCTCACTGTAAGCTCCACCTCCCGGGGTTCACGCCATTCTGCCTCAGTTTCCTGAGTACATGGGACTACAGGCACCCACCACCAAGCCCGGCTAATTTTTTTTTTTTGTATTTTTAGTAGAGACGGGGTTTCACCGTGTTAGTCAAGAAGGTCTCGATCTCCTGACCTCGTGATCCACCCGCCTCGGCCTGCCAAAGTGCTGGGATTACAGGCGTGAGGCACGGCGCCCGGCCGCCAGATGTTTTGGTTTTTCATTTTATTTCTGGTTGCAGTCAGGTAGTTAAGTCCAGGGACTCTCTTGCCCTACTCCACCTCGGTCTCATTCCATTTCATTTCCGGGGCACACAACTTGGAAGTCTTTTTCTCTGGAAGAAGAAAAATTCAATGTAGACCCTTAGGAACAGCATCTTCTTAGAGGGAAGCCAGGGACTGGGCAGAGGTGGGAAGAAGAGAGGAGGCACACTCTTCTCAGGAAGGCTCCAAATTGAAGGATAGACGAAGGTTACCGTAATAATAGTGGGGCCTGACCTCACCCCGTTGGATTTTGTGCCTTGGCTTGCAGAGCATTAGGAGGTAGCCTAGTAGCATAAATTGCATTTCTAGTGGGCCCAGATAAAAGCAAAATAACGGATTGATTCAAGCTGATACTGAGTAGCAAAATTTTGGAAACAGTCAACAGTGCAAGTTTGTTGCAGGAGGCTGCCATGGGCGCGGCTATTCCACACATTACGGCGCGAGGCGAAAGCCTTAGTGGAAGCGCGTCCTGCGCGGGGTCGGGGACCCCGACTGCGCCTTGGCCCGGCCTTCGGTTCCGAGTCCTTTCCGTGTGTAGTCTCCCGGGGGTGGCGGCTCTGGGTGCGGGCACGGAGGCCCCAGGACCAGCTGCTGCGAAGACTCGGTTCTTTACGGCCCGGTTCCCACCCAGGTCTCGCGAGAGCGCAGGCGCAAGTGTCGCGATAAGTGGGCGCGGGCGGAGCGGAGGGAGATCCGAGCGGCGGCGGCAAGTGGGCTGCGGAAGACTGAGGTGAGCGGCCCGGCTTGCGCGGGCGGCGGGGTCCTGGGGTCCCGGGGGTCTCGGGGGTGACAAGGGCAGGGCCGAGGGCCCGGATCGGGTGTGCCCGCCAGGGTGGGGCACAAGGACCCTGGACCCCGTGCCTCAGGACCGCGCGCCAGCCCCGTCTCCCATGGGCGCGCTCTCCTCTCTGTGCTCTCCCCTCCTCTCCCCTCCTCTCTCCACTCCCCTGTTCCCACTCCGCTGTCCCCACTCCGCTGTCCCCACGCCCCACTTCGGGCTGTGCTGGGTACAGCGGGGCCCTCGCCTGGGTCTCCGCAGCCGTCCCTTGTGCCAGGGCGGGCGGCCGAGGGGCGCGTGCTCGTGGCCCCAGCTCCGGGGTCCGGGTGCCCCCCGTGGGGGTCCCCGTGCCCGCCGTGGGGGTCTCCAGGCTAGGGTGCCGGCGCGCCGAGGAAGGGGCCTGAGCTGGCGCCTGGTGGAGAAGTCGGGGCTGCAGGGACTCTTGGCATCCTGGTGGCTCGCGCGGGCCCGCTCTCAGGAAGGGGGCGTGTGGGCCCGGTTTCCCCTCGGGGATGGCAGGGGTCGCCCTGGTCTCTTCTGGGCAATGGAGGAATTGGGCTGTGGAGCCTCCCTGCAGGCGGGCCTTCCTCTGCGGGGCTCGCAGCCTGGGGAGCTCAGGGCTCTGCTTGCAGCAGGCCGAGGTTCTTGTTCAATGGAAACTCAGAAACTGTGCAGCTGCAGGAGTTCTACCTTTTGGTTGTTAAACGCGCTTGGCTGTTCCCCTCGTTAGGGCTGGTGGGCCGGCCTGCCGTGAGACCATCGTCAGCGCAGGTGTTAGGGGTGCAAAGTTCTTTGCTGCTGCTTGTCTTCAGCCTTCCAACGCCAGACAGACCCAAGTTCCCAATCTCCGTTCTGTAACTTTTTGAAGCTTCAGTTTCATCATCTCTAGAATCTGTGTAAAAAGACCTGATTCACCACCCTGTTAAGATTGAGCTTACAAATGTAGTGCTGGTCAACCTGCGGCCGCATTCCCATTATCTAGCAGTGGAAGACTTGAGGGATATTGACCCCATTCCCCACAACTTTGCAAGTAGATTTCACTCTCATGAGTTGACAGATGAGGAAACTGAAGTTCAAGAAGTCTCCGTGCTCGGAAATGTCAGATACCTTTCTTTCCGGTACCTAGTTGAAAATAGTAGTAGTACTTATTAATGTCACTAGAAATAAACAATGAAAATTAGCACAGCTGTGATGATCATCTTTACTGTCACTGTTGCATGCCTCATTTCTGATTCCCAGAGGCCAGACTTTTTAAAAAATTAATTATTATTATTTTTTGAAATGGTGTCTTGCTCTGTTGTCCAGGCTGGAGTGCAGTGGTGCGATCTCAGCTCACTGCATGCAACCTCTGCCTCCTAGGTTCAAGCAATTCTCCTGTCCCAGCCTCCGGAGTAGCTGGGATTACAGGTGTATACCACCACATCCGGCTTTAATAGAGACAGGGTTTCACCATGTTGGCCAGGCTGGTCTCGAACTCCTGACCTCAGGTCATCTGCCCGTCTTGGCCTTGCAAAGTGCTGGGATTACAGGCATGAGCCACAGTGCCTGGCCTTAATTAATTAATTAATATTTATTTATTTTGAGGCACAGTCTTACTCTGTTACCCAATCTGGAGTGCAGTAGTGCGGTCTCAGCTCACTGCAACTTCCACCTCCCAGGTTCAAGCGTTTCTTGTGCCACAGCCTCCTGAATAGCTGGGATTACAGGCACGCACCACCACACCCGGCTAGTGTTTGTATTTTATTAGAGATGGGATTTTGCCATGTTGGCCAATCTGGTCTTGAACTCCTGACCTCAAGTGATCTGCCTGCCTCCACCTCCCAAAGTGCTGGGATTACAGGCGTGAGCCATCCCACCTGGGCAGGAGGCCAGACTTTTTTGTGAGTGCTCCTGGTAGTTAGTTTCAGGCATCAGCTGACTGGATTCAGGAATTTCTAGAAACCTGGGAAAGCATCATTTTTGTTTCTGAGTGTGCCTGTGAGGGTGTTTCCAGAGGTGATGAGCTTGGGAGTCTGAGTGGACCAGGTGCTGAAGATCCACCCCCCAGTGTTGGGGGCACCATCCAAGAGCCTGGGGCCTGGAGAGGACAAAAACAGAAAAGGCGAATGTGTCCATCTGCCTGCGGGAGCTGGGATACACCCTTCTTCTCCTCTCCTCAACAGCAGCACTCCAAGCTCACCGGCCTTTGGTCTCCAGGACTCGTTCCAGCAGCTCCTCGAACTGAGAATTACACCATCGGCCCCCCTGGCTCTGAGGCCTTCAGACTTGGACTGTGTCACACTGCCAGGCTTCTAGGGCTCCAGCTTACAGACGGCCTGTTGTGGGACAGTCTCCCTAATCGTGTGAGTCTGTTTCCCTAATAATGCCCCTCTCGTGTGTCTGTCTCTGTCCTGTTGGCTCTGTCTCTCTGGAGAACCCTCTTACAGTGCTGTGGGAGGACGTGCCACCTGAGTGCTGAGCCCCACCTCTTGGGCGCCAGCTGTCCATCTGTGTGCAGCTGAGACTCAGTCGGTGGCTCGGTGGCGGGGATTTGGTGGCATGCTTTCTTGCTTCCATTTTTTGTCTGGTAAATTGGCAGCATGGCTCCCAGTTGCCTTTGAAGAATGTGGTTACAGACACTGGTGTATTATGGGCTCCAATGAGTGTTAGGGGAGTGGGGATGTCCAGAGGCCCCGCTGACTGCACAGCTGATGGCACGTAGAAAGGCTGGCCCTGACCAGTCCTTTGTCTGTTCCCAGAAGGAAAGCAACCATGGAAGACCTGGGGGAAAACACCACGGTTTTATCCACCCTGAGATCTTTGAACAACTTCATCTCTCAGCGGGTGGAGGGAGGATCTGGACTGGATATTTCCACCTCGGCTCCAGGTTCTCTGCAGATGCAGTACCAGCAGAGCATGCAGGTGAGTGGCATGTGCCTGGGTGGGAGTCTTCTCTGGGGAGACCCCTGGGCCCAGGCAGGGCCTGTTCAAGTCTTCTGTAGTTGAGGTGGGTCAGTATTAGCTCAGCCTAGAGACCAGCTGCTCATCTTCCAGGCCTCACTGTGGCCACTCCTCGTTTTGGGGCAGTAGCTGGAGGCTAGTTGGGGCCCTGAGCCATCCTGGCTCGAAGGCCTGCCTTGTTAGCACCCTGAGTGGGCCTGGCGCTCAGCATTACATTCACACAAGTGCACCCACAGACCCTGGTGACAGGATGGGAAAGCCAGTTCGTTCATCTAATTGAGGACAGAACCCAAACTGCCTGGGAGTGTGAGCAGCAGGACCGTCGGGAAGGCTGTGTCGGAAACACGGTGCGGGAGTGCCTGGCAGCCCAGAGACAAAGCCACAGCCGTGAGCAGAAGGACGGGATGTTTTGTGGTCTCAGGCTGTAGAGGGCCATTTTCAGATTTTGGGGTGATTTTTACGGATTTCTTCTATAAAATAGTTGTATTTGGTTTCGTTACAAGTTCTTGGGGGATTGCTCACTGTAGACACAACTGCAGAGGACTCAGGTCTCCTGAAGGACTTCAGGATCCAAAGAGTGATGGGCCCAGCCCCACGTGGGGCTGGGATAACGGGGCCCCCGAGTGGTGGGGAGTGGAGTGCTGGGGAGTGCTGGCAAGGAGTGTCTCCAGCCTTGCCTGGGCCCTGTGGCTGCACAGGCTCCTCTAGACCCCTCTGCCTGGACCCTCTTTCCCAGTCCCTGCTGCAGGCCCCAGAGCCATTCTGTAGTCCTGTGCCCGTTAGAGGAGGCTCTGACTTCCTGCGCTCTCAGAGCCCAGATGAGGCCCTGCTGCATTTGGTAAAGCTGTGTGTGTGTGCATTTGTTTTGTTGCATAATTGAATTAATATGTGTTTATTAGAATGCTAGCTTGTGACTGGATGTGGTGGCTCACGCCTGTAATCCCAGCAGTTTGGGAGGCCGAGATGGGCGAATCACGAGGTCAGGAGATCGAGACCATCCTGGCTAACACGGTGAAACCCTGTCTCTACTAAAAATACAAAAAAATTAACCGGGCGTGGCACCTGTAGTCCCAGCTGCTCGGGAGGCTGAGGCAGGAGAATGGTGTGAACCCGGGAGGCGGAGCTTACAGTGAGCCGAGATCGCGCCACTGCACTCCAGCCTGGGCGACAGAGCGAGACCCCGTCTCGAAAAAGAAAAAAAAAAAAAAGAATGCTGGCTGCTAGCTTGCTTACTGCCGTTTCTTCATGAGGACAGTTTTGTATTCTGAGATTAGGTCACATATATATGTGTGTGTATGTATATATGTGATATGTATACGTAAATGCTCTTTTATGAAATTATGAAGGTAATAGATGGTTGTTGTTTTTATCACTGGCAAAATTAGAAGTTGCCAACTCTGAACTGGTTGTGGCGGCTCATGCCTAGAATCCCAGCACTTTGGGAGCCTGAGGTGGGTGGATCACTTGAGGTCAGGAATTTGAGACCAGCCTGACCAACTTGGTGAAACCCCATCTCTACTAAAAATACAAAAATTAGGCGGGTGCGTACACCTGTCATCTCACCTACTCGGGAGGCTGAGGCAGGAGAATCGCTTGAACCCAGGAGGCAGAGGTTGCAGTGAGCTGAGATCACGCCACTGCCCTCCAGCCTGGATGACAGAGTTGGCAACTCTGGTCTGAAATGCTGTAATTTCCTTGATGCAAATGTCTGGGACCTCTCGGCCTATCTGTCAAAGCTTTGGGATTCTAGTCTGTCTTGGACCTGCGAGGCCCCCAGTGCTCACTGTTAAGGGCCTCTCGGTGAGGGGATCAGTGATGGGGTGCGGTAGTCAGAGCGAGGTGGCGAGCAGAGTGATGTCGGTGAGCCCAGCCTTGGTCCCTGGCCCCTGTCACATCCCGTTTCTGGACTTTGTTGTGGTTCTTTCTCTCCTGCTGAGCCCCCGGCATGGCAGAGAGGGCCTGGAGTCCATGGCAGGCCGGGGGAATGTGTGCTGTCTGGTTTATCACACATCTGTGTTGATTTAATGTAAGGGCAAGCTTTCAGTTGCTGTCTTTCAGTTGTAGTTAGCTCCAGGCAGAGGTGGCACACGGATCAGGTGTGTCTGGGACTCCTGGTCCCTGCCGGTCGTGCCCCCTGCAGGTGGGGTGCCCACCCTTCTCGAGAGGCTCAGGTTTGACTGCAGACACAGAAGTGAGACCAGGAAGGCTGCTGAGTTGGAAGGGCAGTCTTAGGAATGCCCAAACAGCGGCAGCTGGGAATCGAGACACGGTAACATAGTAAGAAAGGAAGCGTGGGCTTGGGCCACCAGAGAACACAGGTGGGAGGACAGCGAAACTTCCCTCCCCCGTCCCGGGCTTTCCTAGCCTTGGCATGCTTGGCATTTGGGTTGGGTAATTCTTTTTTTCTCAGGACTTTCTTGTGCATTGTGGGCTGTTGAACAACATCCCTGGCCTCTACCCCCTGGATGCCAGCCAGCAGCACACACATATGACCACCCTTCTGTGACAGTCAGGTGTCTCCAGACAGTGCCAGATGTTCTCAGGGGCAAAACTGGCCCCCATTGGGAACCACCACTTTGGTGCTTATCAAACTTTCACGTGCATGTGAACGCCCTGAGAATGTGTTTAAAAAGAAGTTTCTTTTTTTCTTTTGGAGACAGGGTCTTACTCTGTCATCCAGGCTGGAGTGCAGTGGTATAATGTTGGCTCACTGCAGCCTCCGTCTCCTGGGTTCAAGTGATTCTCCCACCTCAGCCTCCGGAGTAGCTGAGATTACAGGTGCGTACCACCATGCCCGGCTAATTTTTGTAGTTTTGACTAGAGACAGGGTTTCACCATGTTGGCCAGGCTAGTCTCGAACGCCTGACCTCAAGTGATGTACCCACTTTGGCCCCCAAACTACTGGGATTACAGGCATGAGCCACTGTGCCTGGCCTAGATTTTTTTTTTTTCCAAGACGAACTCCTGCCCTATCACCCAGGCTGGAGTGCAGTGGTGTGATCTTGGCTTACTGCAACCTCCACCTCCTGGGTTCAAGCATTTCTCCTGCCTCAGCCTCCTGAGTAGCTGGGATTACAGGTGTGCACCACTACGCCGGCTAATTTTTGTATTTTTAGTAGAGACGGGGTTTCCCCATGTTAGCCAGACTGATCTCGAACTCCCGGCCTCAAGTGATCCACCCGACTTGGCCTCCTGAAGTACTGGGATTAACAGGCGTGAGCCACTGCGCCCAACCTAAAGAGAAGATTCTGATTGAATACATCTGGGGTGTAGCCTGAGACTCTGCATTTGTTAAGTGCTGAGAGATGCTGCACTGCAAGGCTCTGGGCTATATGAAGAGTTGGTGACTCTGCCTTTTCCTCCAGCTGAGCAGGTCGTACCCAAAGGCCGACTCTGGAACTGTTTGGCAAGTCTTCTGGGGCTCTGTGAGGCTCAGCTCACCTGTAATCACTAGCCCTGTGTGGTAGGCAGGCTTCTGAGAGGGCCCCCAGATTCCAGGCTCTAGTGCACACTCACCTTCCTACTGCCTCCCAGGTTTGAGTCGATACTGACTAGGTATCATTGTGGGATTGTGCAAATGTAATTAAGGTCTCAGATCTGTTGACCTTGAGATAAGGAGATTACCTGGGTAGACTTGATCCACTCCCTGGGTGGGCTTGATCTGCTCACCAGAGCCCTTTAAGTCTCAGTCCAGACATCTGAGGCAGAGCAGTCAGAGACATGGCAGGAGCGGGATTTTACAAGGGAGATTGGACGTGGTTGATTTTGGAGAGGGAGAGGTCCATGTGGCAAGGGATGTGGGCAGCTCCTAGGAGTGGATGGCCGTACTGGGCTGGCAGCTGGTCGGGAAGGAGACCTCATTCTCCATCCCCGTGAGCTTGTGAGAGGATGCTGAGCTCCACCTGAGAACACGTCCTGGTCGACTGCATTGATTTTTAGCCTGGGAGACCTTGTTCAGAGAACGCAGCCACCTACGTCTGGACTTCTGACCCACAGAGCCATTGGCTGATAAATAAATGGGTGACATTCGAGGCCATTGCGTTCACTAATATGCTTAATGTCATCTCAAAAGACGTCTTCCTCTTTCTAAGCTTTTTCACCTTCCCACTGCCTGCCACTCCCCGGTTCCCCAGCCTGGGGCCCGGTAGCTGGGGCACATCAAGACTTAGCACAGGGCCTGTGGGAATGGGTGCTCAGAGATGTGTCCGCTGCACTGAGTCACTCAACCTTGTTTGATGCAGTCACTGAGCATTCCGTTTTTCTTTGGGTATGTCCCTCTCAGCTGGAGGAAAGAGCAGAGCAGATCCGTTCGAAGTCTCACCTCATCCAGGTGGAGCGGGAGAAGATGCAGATGGAACTGAGTCACAAGAGGGCTCGAGTGGAGCTGGAGAGAGCGGCGAGCACCAGTGCCAGGAACTACGAGGTGGGTTCACGTGGGGCAAGGGTCAGCCCAGCCAGCCACTGAAGCAAGGGGACTGTGCACCGTGCCTGCCAGGTCGTAAGAAATCAGATCCTAGTACCTGGGAGCAAGAGGGCTGTGCACGGTACCTGCCAGGTTATAAGAATTCAGATCGCAGCCCCTGGGAGCAAGGGGGCTGTGCATGGTACCTGCCAGGCTGTAGGAAATCAGAACCCAGCTGACTGGAAGCCTGACATGCCCTGTGTCACGGTTGCCAGGACATTCCTTCTGAGGCCACGCATGCTGTGGGGCAGGTATTGGTTATGCTTGCTGTCCTAGAGGAGGATGGCATGAAATGGGAACACTTGCTGTGTCTGTTCAGTGAGGCTGCGGTGCCGGCACAGATTCCTTTGTTGGGTCTCCTGGTTTCCTCTTCCCTCTGGAAGAATTGGAATGCAGGTCTGACAGAAATGCCGAGTGGTGTAGGAGGGACAGGCTTAGGAGGTCACGGGGTGGAACAGGGTCCTGGTCCATGCTGGGCCTTTGGGTTGGAGGGCCCTAGCGAAGGGTGCCGGCCTCAGTGGTGGCTGTGTGTTGCTCCTGGCTCACCCAGGGCAGCAGGGAAAACACCCTGTCCTTGGGGAGGGAATTAGGTTTCCACTGAGTGTGTGAATTCCCTCTGCTCTGATGAATAGCGCTTTGCCAGGGTTTCGGTCAGTGCTGATCAGTTGTGGAAATGTTGCCAAGGTTCAGGCAGAGTATTGGGCGGGAAGTCTCCTTGGCCTGTGTGCCCTCTTTCGGCGGGTCGATGTCTAGCCCCTCCCTGGCATCGTGCGGTTTGTTCACACACTCTCCTAGGCCCTAGAAAAATAGCTCATGTCTTCCGGAGTGTGATGCTGGTTGGATTCCTTGCCCCTGGCCTGCAGATCCTGGCTGTGGTGCGTTGTGTGGGCTCAGTGAGCCTGAGGTGCCATGGGGTGGGGGCCACAGCCTCAGGCTTGGCTCCATTGCTGCTTTGAGAGCTGTTTTCCCTGAGAGGTGGGGCTTTTGCTCATGGCCTGGTTGGGTCCTAGGAGGGACAGTCCTGGAGGAATTGGTGGGAAGGGGAGGGAGAGGCCACAGGAATCTCCCTAACTATTGAGGTTCCCTTGTTAGGGGTGGAGAGGTGGCACCAGGTCATTAGTTTGGAGGCAGCGTGCTCATGGCATGGCTGTGGCTCTCAGGCAGGAGGAACGGAGTGTGCAGCTGTTGGAGTTCCTCTGGGGCCGAGAGTCCCTGAGGGCAGGGCCCACCTGACTCCGCCCAGGATCTCCATTGTGTGGCGCAGCTTATGGCATTTTATGGGTACTCACAAATGTTGTATTGAGGGAGGAGTCATTGTAGGGTCTCCGGGGGCCCTTTCTTGGGGAAATCCAAGAATGCAGGTGAGTGAGCTTACACTTGGGGCTCCTTGCTGAGCTCCAGCCACCTTCTAGCAGGACTTTCCTTCCTTGCCCACAGACACAGCTGCACAGGACCCCAGGAACAGTTGGAACCAGTAGTCTTCCAGTTGTTCCTTGGAGTTCCACCTGGAAATACCTATTAGGGGTTGAGACCTAAGTGTCTGAAGTCCAGCAACCTGCTGGCTGCCCTGTCTGCACTAGGACTGGCAGTCCCGGGCCTGGTGCCCCATCTGGCTGTGATGGTGCTGAGCGGAGCCCCGTGCCAACCCCAGCTCCTGTTCTGCATCACAGAAGAGTCTCTTGGTTGTTGTGAGGCAGCCCTTGCAGCTCACAAGGGCTAGAGTCCCTCCGAGGTGCGGGTCAGCCTCTCTCAGAAGGCAGCCACCTCTGTCACACCTCTCCTGGGCTTTGGGCTGGAGTACCCCAGATGAGGACAGCGCAAGCTCATACTCCTCCCTGGGCTCAGGGGGAGTGCTTGGAGCTTCCCGAGGAAGGCAGGGCAAGAGGGTCCCAGAGTGCTGGGCTCCATCAGGACTCACCGCCTTCACCTCCTGGGACTCTCGTACCTGGCAGTGAACTTGCAGGGCCTGCGGGTCATTAGAGTCAGGAGGTCTGAGCGTGCTTCTTGGTTATGTCCCATCCCAACCAGTGAGAGCCACGCAGCCTCCCCAAGGCCAGTCGGGGGGGGGTGGCTCTGGAGGTTTGTGTGAGATGGTGTGCATGTGTGGCAGATTTGAGCCCAGTGTAAACTGCTTCTGTCCGCAGCCTCCTGCTCACGCCACCTGTCTCTGCCCCCATCGGCTGCTCGCTGGGGGAGTGCCAGCTCATTTCAGTGCCGGCCAGAGTGAAGTTAGACAGGATTTGCTGGTGCTGTGAAAGCTCAGCTTCTCCCCAAGGTCAATGCTGAATTGTAGATTTCCCGTGCTCCCTCTCCCTGCAGAGGCAACTGCTGAGCAGACGGTGTGATGAATGTGTGTGTGATCTGTGCCAAGTGCCCGTCCTGGGAGCCCTGACTTTGCACAGTGCTCACCGTCATGGCGCCTCAGCGGGGGTGCCGGCACTGGAGCTGGGTCCCAGGTTCCATCCTGGTTCTGCCGCTGACTTGGCTGATGCGTCCTGCTCGCCTCTTTTTTGCGCCTCGGCCTGTTCTGAGAGAGGTGTGGGGGTGAGGGCTCCCCGCTGACCCTCCCGTGGGTGGCACATGGCATCTGACTCTTGCTCTCTTGACAGCGCGAGGTTGACCGCAACCAGGAGCTCCTGACGCGCATCCGGCAGCTTCAGGAGCGGGAGGCTGGGGCGGAGGAGAAGATGCAGGAGCAGCTGGAGCGCAACAGGCAGTGTCAGCAGAACCTGGACGCTGCCAGCAAGAGGCTGCGTGAGAAAGAGGACAGCCTGGCCCAGGCCGGCGAGGTGAGCGGGGCCTCCGCTCTGCGGGGACTGCCCTCCTGGCACTGTTTTCCTGAGGAGAGGGAATGCATGCTCTTGTTCACCACTGCAGCGCCGCGCCTGTGTTTTTAATTGTGCTTCCCACACGGACAGCTGCGTTTTTTGCATAGTTGTAATCAGTGGAAGTATTAATTTTCCATTCTATAGTTCTCAATTAAAAAGTTGAGCACTTGGGCTGGGCGCGGTGGCTCATGTTTGTAATCCTAGCACTTTGGGAGGCCAAGGTGGGTGGATCACCTGAGGTCGGGAGTTGGAGACCAGCCTGGCCAACATGGTGAAACTCCATCTCTACTAAAAATACAAAAATTAGCTGGGCGTGGTGGTGGGCGCCTGTAGTCCCAGCCACTCGGGAGGCCGAGGCAGGAGAATCGCTTGCACTGGGGAGGTGGAGGTTGCAGTGAGCTAAGGTCACGCCATTCCACTCCAGCCTGGGCAACACAGTGAGACTCTGTCTGGGAAAAAAAAAAAAAAAAGTTAAGCAGTTTTTTTGCATTTGTAATTATGAATTTTGAAGGCTGATGAATCCGTTTTTTGTTGTTATGGACTTTTAGTGTGTTTGTGTTCACTTGTGTATCTATGCAGCCCTCGCTTCTGTTGACTTTGGACAGACCCCTAGGCCTGGGCTATAAGATCCCCAGCGATGGCGGTCTCTGTAGCGGTTGTTCTCAGAGCCCCGGCTGAGGACTCCAGTTTCCCTGCGGCCTTCCCTGTCGTGGATGGTGGTCTTTTCTGGAAATAGCTGTTGTTTCGTCAGGAGGCTTAAGTAGGCACGAATGGATTTGCATTTCTTTGACTATCCGCAAGGTCTACAGGCATCTGATGGTGTCGGGAGAATTGCCTCTGAACCGGAGCCTGTGTGAACCACAGTCCTGGTGAAGGTTGCTTGCATTGTAGAAACAGCCTGGATGTGGGCGCTGGTGGAAATTGGAATCTTCTGACCTCTCCTGTCCTTTTTCTGTGAAGATCAAGATTGCTGGTGCCAAGTGGAGACATGCAAATCTGCTGGCATAGGGGTGGGGGTGGGGTGGGCGTGCAGCAAGCGTCCTGGAGGGGTCCAGAAACTGGCCCTGCGTCCTTTCTGTGGGTGGTGCTGGGGAAGCGTGTTGAGGTTGTTCCCCCATCTGCTTCTGGAGGGAACGTTGGCAGGAAAGGAGGTGTGATTGGCCTCCGAGAAGCTGCTCTTGCCTTGCCCGTGCTCTGGGTTCCAGTTCCTGTGTGCTGGGCTGTGCTGGAGGTGGGTCAGACCCTGTCCCCGCTGTCTGTGGGCACCTGCGGTTCCATGGGGGAGGGTGAGTCGTGCCCAGCACTCCACGCGGGGCAGAGGAGTGGGAGACTGCAGGAGCCGCTGTGTGGTGCCCAGTGGGGTGGGGCCCCGTGAGGGGAAATCGCGCTGCTGCAGGCGCTGCTGCTTTGGCCTGTCACGTCTAAGCTAGGGTGGCAGCTCCTCAGGGCAAACCCTCCTGCTCACTAAGCCTTGGCTGCCTTCTCCTGTCACAGGGCCCTGATTGTCAACCTCCTTACTCTGGAATTGTCTTACGTGCCTCTTCCTTGCCAACTGTCTGTCGTCCCCTACAACACAGGTGCCCCTGCGGGCAGGTGGGCTCGGCCCTGCATCCGGCCTGGTCCCGGCATCCGGTGTGTATTAGTTGAGTTCAGAAGACCTCTGGGAGGATGTGTTTATTGTTAGTATGTTTTTAATACCTTCTTTTTTGACTCCCAGGTTAATGCTTCACCATTGGGTGAAGTAAACTGTACCCGTTGTGGGTGTTCTGGGAGCACACCGCCCCCATGCGCGCCTTCCCAGAGCGTCGTGGGGTGGACAGCAGTGATAGGGTTCAGCGGGCTGAGCTGGCCACGGGTTCTCAGGAACAGGGAAATGAGTGCTGTGACCTCCTTGTTTGCGGAGGGTGCCACCCAGCCAGGCCCACCCAGGTCGTTTGCTGTGTGAGTTTGCCATTGCCCTGCCCTGGGGGCATGGTCCCCAGAGCTGACATCACGCCCATGTGTTTCCCTGTGTTAACTTACAGTGATGCTTCTCAGGGTCTGTCCGGCTTCTCACATTGGCTCGGCCCACATGCTCTTTCTCTGAGGACACCTAGGGTTTTCTGAGCTTTTCCAGAGGGTTAGGGTCCTCAGAAGGTTGCCTGGTGAGGGTGGTCAGGATGAAGCGTGGCGGTTCTGTCACGCGCAGGTTCCATGCTGTCAGGCAGACCTGGTGTCCTGGAGGCTGCCAGAGAGGCTGTTGGCTTTGCCTCCCCAGGGGCGCTCCTGCCTGTGCTATGCGCTCCCCTTCCAAGCGCACAGCCTCCCCAACAGCTACCGCCTAGCCCCCTGCACAGCCTCCGTCTTTGTCCTGTTGGTTGGCCAGTGCCTTGCTGTTGTTCGAGGGCGATGTCATTAGCAAACAGCCGGCATAGTAGCATTGGGGTGGCTGGGGAGGGACGACAGGAGCCACTATTGGAGGGAAGACCAAAATGATGGTGTGGTGGGTATGTGGATGCCTGATGGGACTTTGGGAGCATGCAGCACTGGCACAGAGACTGCCAGGTGCCAGGCCTGAGAGTCCAGGCCCATCTTGGCTGGTGAGGACTTTTGCTTCTGAAGCCGCCTCACCAAGCTTCCTTTCCAGGGGCCCTGGCTGGGGCCTGGGTCTCCTCAGTCAGCTCCTGCATGGCTCGTTGCAGGCTCTGGGCTGTGCTGCTCTGCAGCGCCAGGAGGAGGGTGGGCCTTGCGTGTGAGTGCCTGCCTGGACCCGCATCCTCCAGAAGGAGGTGACTCTGCCCCCTGGCCCTCTGCTCCTCTGCTCCCCTTGTCCCCCTCGCCTGCTTGCCGTCTGTCCCCCTACCCTCTGTCCCTCTGCCTGATGCCCCTCTGCCCCCTATTCCTCTGCCCCTCTGCCTCCTGCTTGGTTGTAGCATGTGGGTGGTGCCTGTCCGCTCTTCTCACCTCCATGTGCTCCTTCCATACATGGGCTCTACTCACTGAGTGGCTCTCTGGCCCCCTCTGCTTTTAGACCATCAGCGCACTCAAGGGGAGGATCTCGGAACTGCAGTGGAGCGTGATGGACCAGGAGATGCGGGTGAAGCGCCTGGAGTCGGAGAAGCAGGAGCTGCAGGAGCAGCTGGACTTGCAGCACAAGTGGGCGGGGCCAGGGTGTGGGGTCGGGGGTCGGGCCACGTGTTGGGGCGTGCACGCCACCTCTCTCTTGGTGGCTGGGTGGGTTGTGGATGCACTCCCGGGTGCTGTCCTAATTCACAGACAGTCAAGAGGGGCAGACGCTGAGGCCTCTGGAGCCAGGACCATGAGCCCAGAAAGTGTCCTGATGTTCCTGGAGCAAAATGGGGGCAGCAACTTCCTCCTCCTCCTTCTTAGAGAAGGGCTCCTGCAGAGCTAGATTTTACTTTATTTTTTGTGACAAGGTCTCACTCTGTCGTCCAGCCTGGAGTGCAGTGGCACCCAGAGTAACTGGGACTGCAGGCATGTGCAGTACACCTGGCTGATTTTTTTTTTTTGAGATTGAGTCTCGCTCTGTCACGCACGCTGGAGTACAATGGCACCATCTTGGCTCACTGCAGCCTCCGCCTCCTGGGTTCAGTGATTCTCCTGCCTCAGCCACCGAGTAGCTGGGATTAGTTTTGCACCTGGCTAATTTTAAAAAACGTTTTGTAGAGATGGCCATCTCGCTTTGTCACCCAGACTGGTCTTGAGCTCCTGGCCTCAAATGATTCTCCTGCTTCAGCCTCCTGGAGTGCTGGGATCCCAGGCTAAGCCACCGTGCCCTGCTGAGGGCTAGGTTCAGAGGGCAGCGCCATGTGCCTTGGCGGTAGAGGGGGCGCTGCTGGGAAGGGGTGTCCAGGCACAGGGCTGGGCTCAGCCGAGGTACAGACGGGAGAGCCTTGTCTGGAGGTGTGGTCAGGAGACTGGGCATCTTCTTTAGACTTGGAACCTTCCCTCAGCAAATGCTGTTTTAGTAGAGTTCTAGTTTCGTAGTGGAGAGGAGAGGTCATTCCTGGGTGGGGCCCTGCCGCAGCTGCACCAGGGCTGGGAGTTGCTGCAGGCAGGTGAGAGCTGGGGGTGCCACTGCTGGAGAGGACCTTGCAGGTGGCCTGGGCTCACTATGCACCCTTCCGAATGAGCAGCCTGAGGCCGCAGAGACAGCCCGCAGGGGCTGGGGCCTGGGACCTTCGGGTACCCGTGCAGTGGAGTGTATGTGTGGGGGGTCTGTGCCGGAGGGGGGGTCCTGAACCTTGGGGTGGGAATGAATGTGCGTGGGTCTGTGCTGGGGCGGGTCTCAGGCTGAGGAGAATTGCTGGCCTTGCCACATGCCTGTTTCTGTATGTGATGTATTTTTCTTTCAATAGAAAATGGCAGGAAGCCAATCAGAAAATCCAGGAACTCCAGGCCAGCCAGGAAGCAAGAGCAGACCACGAGCAGCAGATTAAAGTGAGTCGCTCTGTGTCAGGGGCCTTGTGGACATCCCTGTGGTGGCCTTGACTCACCTGCTCCTGTTGGCCTTTCTGCGCTGGTGCCGAGCTCCGTGGGCCTCCTGTGAGGTTCGCTTCTGCCCTGTGTGCTGAGCACCGTGCTGGGCACCAGCGATGCCGTGGTGAATGAGGCAGATGCTTCTGCTCTCAGGGAGCGTGTATTTTAGAGGAGGGAGACTGACCACAAACACGAAGAGGAAATGTCCGTGTGTGTGATGACGTCAAGTGCTGATGAGTGTGCGAAGAAGATACAGGCATAGAGAGGTTGAGAAATCTGCCCACAGTTGCACAGCTGGAGCTGGGTCTCTCAGGGCGTCTGCCTCAAGCTCAGGCTGTGCCATTTCCCTGTGGAGGATGGGCCAGGGAGATGCTGACTCCGGATCCCTCTCCTGCCTCTTGTTGCCTGGAGAGCAGCCTCCAGACCCTGTGCTCTGGCCCCTGTGCACCCTCACCTCCACGCTTCACACCAGCTCTTCCTGGCTGCAGAGCTGACCGGCACCCCCAACCTAGCTTCTGCCGCGTCCCCTCCCAGTGGTGTTCCCTGGCCCCTCGCAGGCCTCAGCCCACCTCTCAGGATTGGCTGGCTGGCAAGGCGATGAACTGTGTTAGTGTTTGTCAAATGGCCGGCTGGTTTGGTTGTGGTTTCACACTCTGCCTGTTCAGTGACTTGCTGCTCACAGATGCCAGCTGTCTGTGTCCCAAGGGGCCTGGGTACCGTCCGCAGAAGCCTGTCCTCACTGACTGAAAGACTGAGCCCTTACACATGTGCTACTAGAGCATCAGAAGTGGGCTTGACATGGGAGGAGGGGGGTGTTTTCCCATGGAGTGCCATCCTGGACCAGACCTGAGATAGACTTTTGCTCCTGGAGAGTTCCCTGAGGCCAGGTGGGGAGCACAGCAGCTCTGCGGTGTGCGGTGTGCATGCCAGCTCCCAGTGTGCAGGGGGCTGGGAGGACGGTGCTGGGAAGAGCTGCCCTGGAGTGGATGCTGAGGCTCAGTATTGGAAGCAGCTTCCAGGCCTCTGGTGTAGCCCGGGAAGGCCTCCCACAGGGGAGTCCTGAGGCATGGAGGCTGCTGAGGACCTGGGAACAGTTTAGCGGAGGAACTTCGTGACCTCAGTGACTTTAATTTTTAATGGATGGTATTTTCTAGAGCAGTTTTAGGTTCACAGCAAAATGAGCAGAAGGTAAAGCTCATTTGTACCCCCTGCTCCACCCACCACCACACACACACAGCCTACCCTGGTAGAGTGGAGCGTGTGTGACGGTGATGAACCTGCCCTGTGTACCCCCTGCTCCCCTGCCCCCCACACAGCCTCCCCTGGTAGAGTGGAACATGTGTGATGGTGATGAATCTGCCCTGTGTACCCCCTGCTCCCCACTCCACGCACACACAGCCTCCCTTGGTAGAGTGGAGCATGCGTGACGGTGGCGAACCTGCCCTGTGTACCGCCTGCTCCCCCCACCCCAATGCACACACACACCCAGCCTCCCCGGTAGAGTGAAGCATGTGTGACAGTGATGAACCTGCCTGGACACATCAGTGTCATGCAGAGTCCACGGGTCCCGTGAGGGTCACTCTTGGAGTGGGACAGTGTATGGTTTGGGCAAATGTAAAATGTCCTATATTTGCCGTTAGAGTGTCACACAGAAAAGTTTTACTGCCTAAAAATCCTCTCTGCTCCCTCAGTCAATCCCTGCCTTTCCTTCTGAGCCCCTGACAACCCCCGCCTTTCCGAGAACGTCCTGTGGTTAGATCCTGCAGTGCGTGTAGCTGTTGCACACCGGCTTGTTTCTCTTAGCCATGTGTGTGTGATTTTCTCCAGGTCTCTTCGTGGCTCATTTTCCTCTTCTCTGTCCCTGGCCTCCATCAGGATCTGGAGCAGAAGCTGTCCCTGCAAGAGCAGGACGCTGCGATTGTGAAGAACATGAAGTCAGAGCTGGTGCGGCTCCCTAGGCTGGAACGGGAGCTGAAGCAGCTGCGGGAGGAGAGCACGCACCTGCGGTGAGGGGTCGCGGGGGATGGGGCAGCCGCCTTGAGTGAGTCTGGGTTTGTGCGCATGGAGCCCACCGTGCAGACGCTGTAGGGGCAGGGCTCCCGGGCTCTTGGCCTTCTCCCTAGGGTGTGTGGCTATTTGAGTGACTCTTTGTGGCACTGCCAGGGAGATGAGAGAGACCAACGGGCTGCTCCAGGAAGAGCTAGAAGGGCTGCAGAGGAAGCTGGGGCGCCAGGAGAAGATGCAGGAGACGCTGGTTGGCCTGGAGCTGGAGAACGAGGTGAGGGCCTGTGTGGTGTGCGGTTCCTGTGGGTGTCCTCTGCCCTGTCTGGAGGAGCCTCGGTATTGTGGTCACACCGACAGCTGCTCACCTACAAGATGGAGGCTGCTGTGATGGGGTGGGAGGCAGAATCGTGGTCCCCAGAGAGTTCCCTGCCTCATCCCCAGAGCCTGTGAACACAGCACCTTCTGTGGCAGGGCGAATGAGGTCACTGGTCTGCTGGCCCACGGCGGGGACGGGCTCCTGGGCCATCCTGGCGGCTCAGAGTGACGTGAGAGGGACTTGGCAGCTCTTGCTGGGTGTGGAGATGGAGGAGGGGCCACAAGCCAGGGAATGTGGGCGCCTCTGGAAGCTGGAAAGAGCAGGGAAGTGAACTCTCCACCGGAACCTGCAGAAGGAAAACAGCCCTGTCGTCACCAGGATTCCAGCCTGGAGAGACCCATTTTGGATTTCTGAACTAAAGTACTGTAAAATAGTACATTTGTGGGCTTTTTTTTTTTTTTTTTTTGAGATGGAGTCTCGCTCTCTCCCCAGGCTGGAGTGCGGGGGCACGATCCTGGCACACTGCAACCTCCGCCTCCCAGGTTCAAGTGATTCTCCTGCCTCAGCCTCCTGAGTAGCTGGGATTACAGGTGTCCGCCACCACACCTGGCTAATTTTTGTATTTTTAGTAGAGGTAGGGTTTCACCATGTTGGCTGATGGTCTTGATCTCTTGGAACTCGTGATCCACCTGCCTCTGCCTCCCAAAGTACTGGGATTATAGGTGTGAGCCACCACACCCGGCCGGGATTTTTAAATATTAAAATTTTTTTTGTAGAGACGATATCTCCCTGTGTTGCCCAGGCTGGTCCTGAACTCCTGGGCTCAAGTGATCCTCCTGCCTTTGCCTCCTGAAGTGCTGAGATGACAGGCGTGAGCCTCTGTGCCGCACCAATTTGTGGTGTTTGAAGCCACTTAGTTTGTGGTGATCTGTTTCGGTTGCAGCAGGGAACTGGTACAGAGGGTGAGTCAGAGTGCAGGCGACACTGTGAGCACCAGGGCTGGCGGGGCCCTGTGCTGGGGGTCTTCTGCCTCCACTGTGGCACTTGGTGGGAAGACGTCAGTGCTGGAAAGCATCCTGCAGTCATGTTGCAGGCAGAGGAGGAGACAGGTTCAGAGAAGCTCCCTCTCTTGCCTGGTGCACAGCAAGTTTGGTCCAGAATTTAGGCCTTCTGGCCCCTGCCCGGGTCCTCTGTCCTTCACGCCACTTCCCTGTGGCCACAGCCGCTCGCCTCTGTGCCTGGCACACCTGTGCCGCCTTTCTCGGGTGGTTGTGTGGCCTGGCAGGAGAGCAGACTCCATCTGCAGCGCTCTGCAGCTGCCCACCTGTCAGGCTGGCCACTTGCAGAGTCCGCCTTGGGTGGTGTGGGTCTCTGCCCTCTTCAGAGCTGCGATACAGCCAGAGTCCTTTCGGGGCCTTGGCCCTGTGACCCACGGTGAGGCGGCTCCCTGCCAGCGGGGGTGTCCGGCAGGGACTCTTCTCTCAGGTGCTGGGTTCTATAGGAGCTTAGCCTGAAAAGACAGCTCCCACGCGACATCCTTTTTCTCTCTGGCCGCCGTGTAATTTATTGTTTGATGGTTGAAGAGTTGGGGCTCTCAAGCTACACTCCGTGGTTGGGTGCTTGGTCCCTGGGCCAGCTCCTTCGCCGCCCTGCCCGTCTCCCCATCTGCGCTGCTCTGCGTCCCTGGGCCGGCTCCTTTCACTGCCCCGTCCGTCTCCCCATCTGCGCTGCTCCGTGTCCCTGGCCCGGCTCCTTCGCCGCCCTGTCCGTCTCCCCATCTGCACAGGGAGGAGCGGTGCTGGTGCCTGCCTCGTCGGGACTGTGAGGCTCACTTGAGTCTATGTGAAGTGCTCAGAGCAGTGCCTGGCACGTAGTGAATGTTCTGTAGCGTTGGCTGTTGTATAGTTACTAGTCAAGCACGTGCCTGCGCGTAGGAGGGGCTCTGAGAATACCTGACTGACTTGCCGAGTGGAGCGTTGATAACAGCACGGTGCTCGGCACTGGGTGGAGGTGAAGCGAGGCCAGAACAAAGGCACAGAGTCCCTGCTCTCAGATTGCTTCCATCCTGGAAGGGCCATGAGACCTCTTTGGGGTGCTGCTCAGCATGGGACAGGTGTGTGACACAGGGGCACGCTGGCCTGTAGGCAGTGATGTCACCTTCCTCCATGCTCCAGGGTGGCTGCCCTCCTCTCCTGGGGCCTGTTGGTCCTGGTCTGCTGTTTGATGGGGGGAAGTTTGGCTCCAGGACTGAGTCTGTCTGCTCCAGGGCCTGGCTCCCTAAGGAGCCTCTGGAAGATGGGGGAGGGGTGAGTCCTCATGGCTCGAGCACCTGAGGCTGCTCCCTGGGGCACAGTCAACCCCAGGATCATTTCTGGGGCTGTCTGCCTTCTCCCTCCACAGCCATACGTTGCATTTAGCTTGCTGGGGTGTGTACTTGAATTTACAGGGCCAGGAAGGAGTGAGGCAGGAAGCGCCAGTGTGGCTTCTGCAGTTGGGAAATAATAACCCGGCTGCGTCCGGGCAGATTTGGAGCATGTAGCACTCAGCTCAGAGGTGAGGGCAGGCTCTCCGGAGAGGTCAGGGACTTAGCGCCGTGGTCGTTGTTGTCAGTCTTATGTGATAATCCTGTGGCAGGCAATGATGGGGTCCTTGCTTTTGTTGTCTTTTCAGAGGCTGCTGGCCAAGCTGCAAAGCTGGGAGAGACTGGACCAGACCACGGGCCTGAGCATCAGGTAGGGAGGGGCAGGTGCCTCCGGGGTCCCGCCTTCTCTGAAGGGTCGCCAGGGAAGAGCAGAGCCAGCCTCTGGCACCCTGGCACTGTCTCCAGCCAGGCATCTCTGTGGCTGGTGGGGGGCGTTTGTCCCGGCTGCTCAGGTTTAATGAGGCCTTTCTCAGCGGGTGGGGCAGTGGAGCCGAGGGACTCATCCTGCTGAAGCCTTAGTAACATCTTCATTGAGAAGCAGAATATCCACAGCAAACCAGTGGCAGGCATCTGATTGCCCTGCATTGTGGGCTCTGTGAAAAGACTCTTTTTGGTGTATACTGAGGAAGTAATTGCTTTTGGGGGAAATCATTCATATTAGGGAACTGTAACCAGTGGAGATGAACTGAGTTTTTAGAATTAAGAAAAACCCACCGTATTAGGCTGTTCTTGCTTTGCGGTGAAGAAGTACTGGAGACTGGGTAGTTATGAAGGGAAGAGGTGGAATAGGCTCACGCTTCTGCAGCTGTACAGGAAGCGTGGTACTGGCATCTGCTTGGCTTCTGGTGAAGCCGCAGGGAGCTTTCAGTCGTGGCGGAAGGTGAAGGGGGAACAGGCACGCCTCGTGGCAAAAGCAGGAGTGAGAGAGTGTGCGAGAGAGAGAGAGCGAGTGTGAGTAGTGTTGGGAGGGAGGTGCCACACACTTCTAAATAACCCGATCTCATGAGAACTCCCTGTCATGAAGACAGACCCAGGCTGTGAGGGATCCGCCCACGATCCAAACACTTCCCACCGGGCCCCACTTCCAGCACTGGGGATTACACTTCAACATGAGGTTTGGGCAGGAACACAGATCCAAATGGTTCTCACCCACCATAGTGGAAGACGATTGTCTGGTTCTTGTAGCAGCCTCTTCAGCCAGTCTGTGCCAAGCTGAGTGCCAGCATGTGGGTGGAGGGATGTGGGGTGGAGCTGCCGGGGGACCACCCTGGGTGCTGGGGATGGCATTCTTAGAGGGCAGGACCGTTCCCAGGTCTGGTCCTGTCTGTCTTGCTCCATCCATCCCAGGGCCCTGCGCTCATCTTTCTCCAGCAGCTGCTCAGTTGGCCCCTGCCCTTCAGCCGCTGGGTCCCTGCAGGTGACCGCCTCCTGGCAGCTCTGGTCTGGACCCCTCTGCGTGGTTGCCCTGTGTGCGCCAGGTCTCCAGGAGGTACAGGAGCGGTGCTTTTGAAGGAGCCATCGGAGCCCGGGGCTTAGGGCCTGTGGTGCTGGTGCCGAGGCAGCCTCTTGTGTTTGCTTGTGAGATTTCAAGGCTTCCCGCTTCTTGCCTGTCTTTCCTGATGCTCTTGGAGACTAAGCTGAGAATGAGACTGTCTGAAAGAGCTATCTTTGACCACAGCGTCCGACTGCTAGTCCTGGGCTCCACTACCTTCTCATCAGCATTACTGGCTTCAGTTCTCTGTCACCTAAAAGTGCCCTTTCATTTTCTTTGAGCTTTGCTAAGTCAGAGCACGGCCCGGGCTGCTGTCTCCTCTTGAGCTCCACCTGTAGAACACAGGCTTCTGTAGGGCCGCCTCAGTGGGGCCTAAATGCTTTGTGCTTCTGTCTGTTCTCTGGGCTTATTAATTGCTTGGAAGGTGACCCTTCTGCTTCTAGGAATACTCTGGCCAGATGAAACCTTTGTGACTTCTTTCCTGTGAAGGGACATCAGAGGCCCCCACGTGCCTGAGGGTCTGGCCCTGTGGGAGGGTCAAGTGTGCAGTTTGCCCTGGAGCACTGGGTGTCAGTCAGGCATGTAGCCCTGGCGCAGCTGGCTGCTGTCTCTGGCTGGTTACAAAGTACTGCTGCTCCTTTCGGCCCTGTTCGCGCATCTGAGCGCCCTGCCTGGGTGTGGCTTGTGTGAGGGCGAACTGGCCTGGGGGTGCTGCCTGGGTGTGGCCAGTGTGAGGGCAAGCTGGCCTGGGGGTGCTGCCTGCCTGTGTGTTCTGTATTCACTCTGCCCTCCCTGGTGGCCAGGCCCTGGATGAGGGAGAGAAGGGGTTGGTCTGCAGGACTGGTGGAGGTGGGCTGCCTGTGCCAACCACCGGCTTAAAAGTGGACGGGAGGCAAGTGGAATGCATGTGTGGTGTCCTGCAGCTTTGATGAGGAAAACAGATAGTGCTTTGGAGGCTCGATTCAACCCACCCTCCCACTCCTCGCAACAGTAAAACCGGTGTCAAGTCACTGTGCTGCTCTGGGCCAGTGTTCCCTTTATTGAAAGGGAGACATGGAGCTCTTCTCCCCCACTGCGTGTGAAAATCCGACGCAATCCTTTGTTTGTGGAGGGCCCTGTGAGTTGGAGAGGGCTGGTGTGAGCGTCCTCTCTGAGCAGCCGGAGGCTGATGGCCAGGAAGGTGGATGGAACCGTCCTCGCTGTGGGGGTCGACTCCTGGTCTCCTGCGTTGGCCTTGGCCGTGGGCCTGGTAGAGGGCAGGTTTCCTCATGTGCTGGGTTGCCTGCCGTGCCTGGGCCCCTTCAGGGCTCCCGCCGCTCACCGCGTTGTGCTCCACAGGGCGGTTGTCTGAGTGTGGTCTGCATCAGGGCCTGATCTCAGGTGACTCACAGTCGACATCAGTGGGGGTGCTGCTTATGTCGCAGTCCATGGGAATGCAGGCTGGCGGTCCTGAATACGGCTCATAGAATCACCGGGATGGTTTGGTAACCGTGTGCATTTCTGGCTGTGCACAGTGGCTCACACCTGTAATCCCAGTGGTTTGGGAGGCTGCAGCTGGGGGATTGCTGTAGCCTAGATGTTTGAGATCAGCCTGGGGAACGTAGTTGAGACCCTGTTTGTACAAAAAAAAAGAAAAAATTATCTGTGCTCAGTGGTGCGCACCTGTAGTCCCAGCTACTCAGGAGGCTGAGGTGGGAGGATCACCTGAGCCCAGGAGGTCAAGCTGCAGTGAGCTGTGACTGCACCCCTGCACTCCGGTGACAGAGTGAGTCCCTGTCTCTAAAACACAAAAACAAAAACCAAAGTGCATTTCTGGGTAAGCCCCGCATGCCCTGAGCTTGCTTTTCTGATTGTAGGGACCAGGTTTGGGCAGGTCTTATGATTTTGGAAGCCCATGTCTGGCAACATTGAATGTGGTGATGAAGTGGGCAGCAGGGACACAGATGTGGTGAGAAGCTGGGACCGTGGGGGCCATGGGGGCCACAGGTGCCACAGGTGCCACAGCTGCCACTTGTGGTCCCCATGGGAGGGCTGAGTGCACTTGCCGTTCGTGTGTGGAGACATGTGTGCCTCTGTGGGCGAGCTCAGGGATCCCCCTCCTCCCAGCCATGGGGACCTGAGGTGACATCAGATGTCCTGGAAGCAGAGGACTCTGTGGCTGGGAGTGCCCTGGGCCTGTGCCGGCTGGGCTGGCGTCTGCGTGCCTCCGGGCCCATGCTGTGTTGGGATTTGGGGCCTGCCGAGGCCCCGGCCCCGTGGGTGCAGAGGAGCTGCTGCCACTAGGTGGCGCCCCTGCCTTGGTGATCCTTCCCACAGCGGCTTCCCTTGGGTCTCTCTGGCCTGGTGGACCTGCTGTTGTCCCACCATGGGACTTGCTTGCTGACACCGGGGTTTTGGTCGATGGGGATGTGAGGGGCCTCTGGCCGCTGTTCCTGACTGCCTTCAGGGGGTGCTTCTGGCTGACCCATGCTTGCCTTGTTTCTGACTGGTGTGTTGGGGCCCTCAGGCCCGTGGGCTGTGAGATCCTGGCGTTGAGGCCAGACGTCCTCTGCGCGGGCCCTTCCCTAAGGACAGGGTGCTGATGTCCTGCAGTCCTCAGAGGGCTCTTCAGCCTCGCCCCGGGCTTGGATGAACCTTGGCTGAGCCCTAGGGGAGAGTGGCCTGGTCACCTTCTTCCCCATGTGGGGCTTCTTAGGTCTTAGGAGAGGAGGCTGGGTGAGTTGGCTGGGGTGAATCAGTGAAACCATGGGAAGACCCTGTGGCACGAGGTCCTTATGTGTCACACAGGCCTTGGCACATGTGACATGTGCAGCACACGGGGTCATGCGGGCTGGGGGCATATTAGTTTCTACGACTTTGAAGTCACAGGCAGGGAGGGACACAGTGTGTGTGGATGAGCCTGCGTGAACACACGTGGGAAAGGGCAGGATGCCAGTGCCGGGAGTGTGGTGTGGACACCCTCACCCTTAGGGTGTTGGGAGTTGGGCTGAGGGAGTTAGCAGCAGTGCGAGGCGTGTGTCTGGAGGCAGCGATGTGATCAGCTTGGTCTCCCAGGAGCATGATCTGTCTTGGGGAATGATTTGTGGGTGAGGAAAGTGGATGCCAGCACACAGCTTTTGAGGTATGTGTCAATCTAGGCAAGACCTCAGGGGCACAGGAGGAGGAGGAGGAGTAATAGAGAGAGGCCAGTGGGAAAGATGGCGTGAGGCTGGAGGCCATCTGGAAATGCAGGGTGCTTCTCTTTGGAAAATCACCTGTTTCAGTAGAATGAAAGGGGGTGCAGGCCATCTCTGTAGGAGAGCAGCACAACCATTTGTAACAATCCAAAACTTGTTTGTGATTGGAAATTCTCAGCAAGCTAGGAAGAGAAGAGAAATTCCTCAACCAGGTAAAAGACACCTGCAGAAAACTACAGCTGATATAATACAAGGTGAGACTGACTGCATCCCTGACACGGACACCAGGCAAGATGTCTGTTCCCATCATCCCTTTTTGCACTGTGCTGGAGATCTTCAACATCATAGTTAGGGAAGCAAAAAGAAAAGATGGACAGACTGGAAAGGAGAAAGTAAAACTGTACCTGGAGACATCATAATTATCTATAGAAATTCCCAGGGAATCAATGACAAGCCAGTAGGACTAAACCGTGAGGTTTACAGGGTCACAGGTTAGAAGGACAATGTACCAAAATAGGTTACGTTTCTGTATGCTAGCAGTGAGCCACTGGAAGTACATACCACACATGATGGCATCAAAGTCCATGAAATATTAGGGATGCATATAAGAAAATCTGTGTAAGATTTGTACACTGAGAAGCTTAAGACGCAACTGAGACATTAAAGATCACCTGATGTAGAAAAATGGAGACATTGTAAGAGGAAAAATGAACTCTTTGCCCCTCTGCTCTCACACAGCCTCTGACACCAGATACTGGAAGGTTTCCCGCACACCAAGCAGTTCTCCAGGCGACACCAGCTGGGTGTCCTGCAGCCTCATCTGCACACTCTCCACCTGGAGTTCCATCAGCTCCTGCCGGGTCGGGGCCCAGTCCCACACGTCTATGCCCCCTTCAGATTCCAGGTGCAAGTAGTGGGCCGGCATCTCTCCTTCATTTTGCTGTTTTCTTCCCTTCCCCTGTCACTGACGTCAGCTGTACTTCTGACTGATAGTCTATTAAACGAGGCTCGTACTTCCCACTCCTTGGGTTTCATTAATTTGCTAGTGTGGCTCACAGAACTCAGGAAGATGCTTTGTTACGTTTAGTCATGTGTTATAAAGGACATTACGAATAATACAGGTGAACAGGTCGGTAGAGTGAGGTATGGGGAGAGGCGCAGAGCTTCCGTGCCCTCTCTGGACACACCACCCTCCGGGAGCCTCCGTGTGTGTAGCTCTGAACCCTGGCCTTATTTATGGGTTTTTGTGGAGGCTTCGTTACAGAGGCATGATTGATTACACCACTGGCTGTTGGGAATCCACTCACCCTTTGGCGCCTCTCCCCTCCGAAGTTGAGGGGTGGGACTCAGAGTCCCAACCCTCTCATCCCGCCTCGGTGTTTCGGATGACCACCCTGTCTGAAGCTGCCTGGGGGCTGCCAACCGGCAGTCAGCTCATTAGTTCACAAAAGACTCTCTTCTCCCCCCAGATAAAGAGCTGCATGTATGTCAGGGAACGGAAAGACCAAATATGTATTTCAGAGTATCATAAAGGTACTGTGTTCTTGTATTGGAAGATTCATTATTGTTAAGATGGCAGTTTGCTCAAAGTGACCCAAATATTTCACATAATCCCAATCAAAGTCCCAGCAGAAAGTGATGAACCGATCTCTAAAATTTCTTTTTTCTTTTTTGATATGGAGTCTCGCTCTGTTGCCCAGGCCGGAGTGCAATGGCATCATCTCGGCTCACAGCAACCTCTGCCTCCCAAGTATCTGGGATTACAGTCTCATGCCACCATGCCTGGCTACTATTAGTATTTTTAGTAGGGGTGGGGTTTTGCCATGTTGACCAGGCTGGTCTTGAACTCCTGACCTCAGGTGATCCACCTGCCTCAGCCTCCCAAAGTGCTGGGATTACAGGTGTGAGCCACTGTGCCTGGTTGACAATTCTAAAATTTCTATGGGAATATAAAGCACCTGTAAATTGTTATAGCAATAACAGTTTAGAAAAAGAACAAGTTATAGGGCTTACACTGGCCAATTTCAAGACACATTGTAAATTGCATAAATTGAGACAGTGTGGTATTAAGTGTAGACATCCGTAAATCAGTGGAACACAGTAGAAAGTTCAGAAATGATTTAAGAATTCAGCGTTGATGGTTGTCAAAAGTGTCAAGGTAATTCAGTGGGAGAAAGAGTCTTTTCACCAGGCGTGGTAAACCAGTAGGCTGTTTGTGGCGAGGATGAGCCTTAACACCTGCCTCCTGCTGGACACAAGATTTAACTCAAATGATGCATAGACTTATGTGTGAAAGTCACAAACTGTAGAAGCTAGGGTTTGGCAAAGAGGTCTTACGATACAGCGAGCATGAACCATACATGAAAAAAATTGATAAGTTAGACTTCATCAAAATTGAAAACCTCTGCTCTCAAAAGACACAAAATGAAAAGACAGACTATAGACTAGGAAAATATTTGCGAGATATTAACATGTATCTGACCAAAGACGCACTCCAGGATACAGAAAGAACTCTTACGAATTAGTAAGATTACCATAGCTTAAAAAATGGTCAAAAGACTTTTAACAGATACTTTATTATTTATGTATTTATTTTTTTGGAGATGGAATCTCACTCTGTTGCCCAGGCTGGAGTACAGTGGCACGATCTTGGCTCACTGCAACCTCCGCCTCCCAGGTTCAAGCAGTCCTCCAGCCTCAGCCTCCCAAGTAGTTGGGGTTCCAGGCATGCACCACCACGCCTGGCTAATTTTTGTATTTCAGTAGACACAGGTTTCACCATATTGGCCAGGCTAGTCTTGAACTCCTGACCTCAGGTGATCTGCCTGCCTTGGCCTCCCAAAGCACTGGGATTACAGGTGTGAGCCACTGCACCTGGCCTGCTTTTCACAGCTTTTCACAGATACTTTACAAGAGAAGGTGTACAAATGGTAAATAAGGACATGAAAAGATGGTCAACATTGTTAGTTATTAGGGAATGCAAATTAAGACTGTAATCGCCCAACAGGGTTCTTCTTGCTGCCCAGAAAGGCAACGTGCCGAGAACGGCAGGTGTGGCAGCAGAGAAGGAGTTTAATGACTGCAGAGCCAGCCAAGGGAGGTGGACGGGAGGTAACTCTCACATCTGTCTGCCTGAGAATTCAGAGGCGAGGGCTTGAGGGCGTTTTGGCGGGCAGTGGCCTAGGGAGTGGTGAGTGCTGATTGGTTGTGTTGGGGATGCAGTCACGGGGTGTCAGGACTGTCTTCATGCAGCTGAGTCAGTTCCTGGGAGATGGGGTCACAGGTCCCGGTGGCATCTCTCGATCTGCTGAAATGCTAAATCTGAAAAATATCTCAAAGACCAGTTTTTTAGGTTTTGCAGCAGTGATGTCTGCAGGAGCCGTTAGGGAAGTTCCGAATCTCACAATGTCTGGTTACGTGACTCCAGGCAGCAGGCACTGTAGAAGAGCAAGCTAAGTCAGCAGGGAAGGTCGTGGCTTAACCGGGCCTGTTCTTTAGCAAAGTTCAGGCCCCTGTAGTAATGCCGGTCTTAGGAATGCGACCTTAATCTCCAAACAGAGAGGGAGTGTCAGTTTTCCTTGCTTTGAAGCTTAACTATAAACTAAATTCTTCTCATAGTTATCTTGGCCTCTGCATTAGAATAAGAAAAAAAAAAAAAAAAAAAAAAAAAAAAAAAAAGGATTGCTCCTATGAGGTTAGAAGCAAGATGGAGTCAGTAATGTAGATTTCTCTCAGTACTTAAAATTCTGTAAAGATGGTTTCAAGACCGCA